TCCCCTTTTCCCTTCTCATTCTCTCCCCCATCCCCTTCCCCACTGGTAACCACCATCCTGTTATCTGTGTCAGTGAGTTTGTTCTTTTTTTGCTTTCTGTTTTATATCCCACACATGAGTGAAATCATATGGCTCCTGTCGTTTTCTCTGACTTATTGAGTTTAGCATTAATACTCTCAAGAGCTATCATGTTGTACCAAATGGCAGGATTTCATCCATTCCTATGGCTGAGGAGGATGCCATTATACATATGTACTGAATTTTCTTTACTCAATCATCTGCTAAAGGACATTTAAGTTATTTTCATGTCTTGGCTACCATAAATAAAGCTGCAATGAACAGATACCTTTATGAATTTTCACATTTTTTTTCAGGTAGATATTCAGAAGAGGGATTGCTGGGTCATAAGGTAACTGTATTTTTAATTTTTTGAGGGACCTTTACATTGTTTTCCATTGTGATTGCATCAGTTTACTGTCCTACCAACGGTGAATGAGGGTTCCTTTTTTTCCACAACCTCTCCAACATTCATTATTTTCCGTCTTATTCATAAGAGCCATTCTAAGAGTATCCCCTGCTTTGTTAACCTCAGCATTCTTATCAATGGCAGCATAATTGCCTTACTTTTTGTTGTGAAAATCTTAAAGTTAGTGTTACTCTTCTTTCTTTTTCTTCTTTTTCTTTTTTAGCTCCCATCATAAAGACTGCAGTTTTGTAATCGTGATGTTTTAACTTATTTTTTAAATTTGTACTGCTGACTTCAACTGGGACCTTTTAAAAAAAATTATTGATTTGAAAGAGAGAGAGAGAAAGGGAGAGAGAATGAGAAAGAGGGAAGGAGGGAGGGAGGGAGAGAGAGAGAGAGAGAGAGAGAGAGAGAGAGAGAGAGAGAGAGAGAGAGGGAGAATGGATAAATAAATGGAACAACATTATGCATCCAGCATCCACTGGCTGATTCTTGTATGTGCCCTGTCCAGGAATTAAGTGGTGTGTCTGGATGATGCTTCGATGCTCTAGCCAACTCTGCTACCCAGCTAGAGCTCTAACCGCAGTGCTTTAAAAAATCTAATTCTTCTCACTTATTCTAAGTCACTAAACATCAAATCATAAGGCCTTTCCAATAGACCAAGCAATGTCCTTTCTATATTAGAATAATTTTTTATATGCTGACTTTAGCTGTCATGTGCTGCTCAAGACCAGTGCTGTTTTATTTTGAACCAAAATACAATTCTCTTGTTTGTCCTTTGAGGCCTCCACAAATCACTATTCCTTTACTGCCTTAGTTTCATTTTTCTAGCAACGCAGATCTTGTTGGCTTGATCTCACTTCCTTTATGCTTTATGTTTCTCTTATTTAGAATGCCCTCCCCTTTCCGTCCACTCTATATTCTGTTCTCATTGAAAATCCAATTCCCATTCTTAAAATAAGGACTCTATATTTGTCATTCACTCTTTGTTTTTACTCTGTGACCACAATACCAAATTTGCCCTCACTTGCAGGTTTCTTTCCCATGCATTATTTAAAGTTGACAAAATGTATGTTTTTTTTATAACCTCATAATGTTCTTCCACTCTGTATGGCCCATATCAAGTCACAGAACTGTGGTCCACTGACCTAAAAGTAGGTAAAGTGAGAGACTGAAATTAGTGTTCATATTTGCAGTTATTAGTAACACTGGTTTAGGTTTATGGGAGAAAGAAATAAAATTGATACCTAATAAGAGTTTGGCTATTCATAAACACTAGCCCATACCAATTGCTCTTTTATTCTGTGCCATTACTATTTAGACATATTGTTCCTTATTGTGACTTTATCTTTCAAGACATAATTTGTTGCCCCATAAATCTGAAACCATGAAATAGGCATGTAATTATACATGTACACATATATCCTCTCTTTAATGTGGGCCCAAACCTACAGGAAATTCCAATAAGGGCATAAACAAACAAAATTTTACCTCAACTTTGATTGGTATTTCCATAGCTCCCTGAAATAAAATAGAGCCTGCTTGTTCTTAATATTTTTTTTTATAATTTAGTGATATCATATAGAGAACTATATTTTAATCTCAAGAAGGCAGAGAACAACAAATGTAGTAGAAGGCCATGCACAGGAAAAATGGGTTAAAGAGACTCAGAAAATCTAAAAATATATAGTACCAGGCTTTCACGGCCAAGCAGACAATGACAGAAGGAGCAGAAAGCATTATGGGAGCTGGTTTTCTTTAATCCTGACACTGGGGGCAAAGGAATTTTACTCCATTACTTCTTCTGAATAATTGATTTTGTTAAAATAGCATCATCACCACTACCATCTTCATCGTATCACTGAAAATTGTATTTATAGAGGTCTTGGGGCTGAAACAATTTCAAACTATTGTCAGACTCTAAATGGGTGAGGAGCCCAGCTTGCTGGCATGGAGCCAGGCAGAGTGATTAGAAGTCTTGGGGCTAAAATTGTATCTGAAGTTCTATCATCAACACCAATCTTTGATTCTTATGATTAAAATTGCGCTTGGCCACAATTATCTATGAAGCCAAAACCTAAAAATCTCTGAAATTATTTTTATCACTCTTTTGATGGTAGAATATTACTCGATCTGAAGTAGTTTTTTGGCAGAACCTTACCTGAATTGACACTAAATTATTTACAGTTTTTATTTGTGCCACTTAAAAGTGAAAATTCATACATTTTCCCACTCAAACAATGTGTTTGAATACAGAATAAAGTTCTAGACTTCTTGGATATGTGATATAATTTATTATATGAATCCCCTTAGCAGTCTAAAATTTAAAATTTTCTGAATATGGAAACACATCCAGCCCCAAAGATTAGGTTTACTGATTGTGGTGCTGAATTCATTTTCTCTTCCGATTTTATCAAGAAGTTCTAACTTATGTACTATTGTCTTGAAAATAGCTCTTAAAAACCTTGAAGCTTCTGAGTGCCTCTACTAAGTAGATAAGTTAGGTTTTATCAAAAAGAAGTCTGGATACAAATTATACAAAGGGACTGAAAATACTGTAAAACATGATAAAATGTCAAGGGGCACAATTCAGAATCCAAGAATGGAAAGAATTTTCCATATTTTATTCCTTAACTTCCATACGAGTGTGATGAATAAGAATTAAATGTACTTACACACATATTATATATATATAATGTATACATGTACACATTATCAATCTAATGGCAAACTTGGGAAACAGAAGTAGAGCCATTGAATATGCATGGTTTGTCTCTATACCTTGACTTATTTTCAAACTAGATCATAATACTCATTGAAATAAAAGATGGTTATTGTTGTACTCACATACACACAATCTCCACCCAATATATTGGCCATTTAGTTTTTCTAGTGTGATTATATAAAACTAGTATTTTTTTTTTTTTTTTTACCGTTTGTTACATCATGAATAGACCTAGAGGGTAATATTTTGAGTGAAATAAGTCAGTCAGAAAAAGACAAATACTATATGATCTCACTTATATATGGAATCTAAAGAATAATATAAATGAACAAACAAAATAGAAAATTAATTATTTTCAGTATTATATCCAGTGGAGTGGTGGCAGTGCAATTAGTGTTGTCTCCCCATCTATTAAACCAACTTCCTAAGAGGATAAACCTTGGGTAGTTCCTGTTGAACTGGAGGATTCCAAAGGGATTGAGTTGTATATAACATGCCTGGGTTCTTGTTCCAGCATTATGAAGGGTTCAACAATCTGGAGAAAGGCTGTGTGTAGATTAACTAGGAGTCCAAAGATGAAAGATACTTTTGAAAGGCATTGGGGGTCAGAGGAGCTTCAGCTAAAGATCCAAGTTCTTAGTTCTTAGTTCTCCTTGTCTCAGGACCCCTGCTTTTTATTAACATAATTTGTCCTAAGGTAAGGTGGAGATAACACACTTCAAAGGGTAGGGTTTCCAGAAGCATTGTCAGATTGGGGAATAGTTTATAGACCATTCAGATGTTTGGCCAACAGGAGGCAATGCCATGTAGATCAAGATGTCCTCAGCTGTCTGGCAGCAAACAATCATCCTATTCAGGTGTGGGGGAAGTGCCCGTTAGCCACTCCCACAGATAATTATATATGTGACTCAGCCCCCAAGTTTCATCAACCTTTTGATAAAACTCTTGTAATTATGACATACTGGAATTGGCTTCAGGCAACAACATACTGAATATGTTGAAAGTAGAGCAAGTGAAGCACAGGTTTTGTTATGACCAATTGACTAGGCCTCACTCCCAGGGAGCCTTGACCTTTTTAGAGAGAAAGGCTGGCCCCATGGCTGTTACAAACAGGGGGAGGCACAGGCTTTGCACAGCCCATTCACATTCGCTGAGGGTGCACCCGGGCCAAAATCGGAAGCAGACCCTGGGAACTATTACAAAGTTGTTAGCAGGCAGGAGAAAGAGCTCTGCTCTAAAGGAACTCACCATGTCGGCAGAGACACAGGGCGGCACAGATTAAGGCACTCATCTAAAGCATATCAATAAAAGAGCATTGACAGTGTTATTAATATGCATTACGAAACTCAAAGGTAAAAACATTTCCAGAAGAAAAATATTAAACTGTGGTCTTACTGAAAACCTTTTTTTTAACCTTTACCAAAACCATGATTTTATGTATGAGATGTGATTTGCAGAACGTGCTTTGTGTAGAAGTTAAGATGCTGTAGTGGGAAAAGGACCACAGAATACACATGATCATGCACCCATCTACAAGAGGTGCCAATCAAAAGTTGAAGGGATGAAATGTGGTCGGTGACAGATTGGTTCTGGATTGAAGCCTTGGGCACAGAGACTCAGAGCTCCAGGACTGCATGCTGGCAGTTCTTAGAAACATTGCCCAAACTGTACAGAGGCTATCATTTCAGAGCATGGGGATCTTTCTGTTTTCCAACATAATGTCAGAATTTTCATACCCCTTTGCCATGATGTAAAAGGGTTTCATAATTTCTTTTTTTCAGAAGTCTGCAGTCCTTGGGAAGGAAACACAGAAGATAGACTATGCTACACCATGAATGGCAGCGCCGTCCTCTGAAGACAACCTCCCGCCCTCCTAACTGGAAACCCGTGCTTCTGAGTTAAGTATGACACAGTAATTACTCATGCAGCCCGGGAGGATTCCAAGTCTCTGCCTGTTTGCAGCGCCGTCTAAAAACAATCAACTCATCTTTCAAATTTGACCAAACCACAAATGGTCTGAGAACTCAGTTGTCTAATAAGGATGTTCATTTTGGCACTCAGCAGCTTACGCATGGCTCACAGATGGCTTCTGTCTCATTGTGTATAATCCAATCATCCTGCGCTATTGAGTCTCACGCTTGGTCTTCAGGAGTAATTGAAAAGCTCACGGTGACTGACGATTGCCTCTTCTTCCAGATGTCGTCCATACAGGAGCATGGCTTTCACCACCCCGTTGACGTAGGATGTGACATGGTCTCCTGGTCAGAGTTGCTCCAAGCAAGGTAAAGAAAGATAACTTCTCTTCGTTCTCTTTTTGTTACTGCCTGGCACTGGTGTAAGCAAATTATGTTCTATAAATGGCCTTTCTTTCCGTAGCAACTTGTTTCACTTTTGACTGGGTACCCTGCAGAAAACATTTTGCAACACTCTTGTTCATATGGTAATGGTGGCAACACGGAGGCACCCATGCCCAAGAAAGGATTCTAAGACATTTAAAGAAGAAAAGCCACAAGATGTTTTTATGAAATAGTGGTTGTTTTGAAGGCACAGGCAGACTTTCTAGTATTAACACCTGCACTTCTGCTCTTCTTCTCTGAAATCATGACAGTTTGTCCTCAATCTTTCTTTGGCAGGATGTGGCTTTTATTTTTCTAACTTCTGAAGGACATATAAGATTTTAGAGGCAAAGCATTGAAACATTTTAAGCTGTAGGTATGTTAGTTTTCTTTTTTTCCTTGAGGCCAGTGGTTAATAGTTGTATTTTATTTCAGTATAAAAATATTCTTTCTTTAAAAGAAAAAAATCAAAGCACCTAAAACAAGGAAAAACAAGGAAATCTGCAAAGTCTGGAAGCAGCTGGGTAAATTCTCATGGGCTTTGGGCTTCCAAAGATCTGGCCTTCAGGGAATGCCACTCTGCAGATTTTTACTTAAAAATTAATTTAGGATTTCAAATTAGTGCTGTGTTCATTTTAGTAAAATATCAGCACTAGGTGTATATCCTCACTTTTTTCTGTTCACTGCCATCATCACAACATGGTAAGAAATGTTAAGTACAGCAACAGCTAAGGGGAAAATTTATACATCAGTAAAAATATTTCAGGGAGAGTATTTTTTAAAAACTTGTTTTAAAAAGATTTTAAACTGTTCCTAATTTATAGTTCTGGGATTGAACTAGCAATGATAATAATTGCTGGAGAGATAATAATTGAAAGATAACATCCTTTCTCTTAAGGAGCTTACATAAAGACACACATACACACCACACACACACACACACACACACACACACACACACTTCTGGTGTAAATGCCCAGGTAATTGCTGCAGTTTTTCACATTTTTAGAATCCCAGAGTTTTATATGTGAAATCACAACCTTAGAACATTAGATCAATAGTGAGTATGCTCAAACTAGGTGAGTTGTTGAAAATCTGAATTCTTTTGCTACATCCCTGTAAGTTATGAGTTAACTTTTCTGAAGTCCTGTTCAGTGTCACTATCATCAGCACAGGAATCACTGATATGCTCATAAATCAATAGTAATAGCAAAAGTGACCTTTTTTCTAAAGAGAGTTCCAAGACCCAACAAATATTTATTGAGTGCATACAATGTGCCAGGCATTGGGCTAATTAAATCTCCCCTATCCCTACATTTCAAATGAGAGAAAAGCTGACTCAAGGGAAAGAGTCATGGCCAACGGCCATTTAATTAATTTGCTGTCTGGGGAAATTGCACAGGAACTGGGAAGAAAGCCCAGGTATGAGGACAGCTATGCTGTGCGGAATACAATGCATTTGTTGTTCAGAACTCCAGTGGAATACGCGTTTTATAAATACAGTAAACTCATATAAGATAACAACTGTAAAACAAATGTTCATGTAAAAATGTCAGAGGCACAACACATTCCTGCATTTCCTAGTGACTGTTGACCTGATGTGGAGATTTTCACCCATACAGACATGAACAGAGGAAACTACTATTAGCAGGCTGGATCTTGTGTTGTCATACCACAGGTGAGAGAGCTTGCTTTCATGATTACATTGGGCATTGGTGAAAGAACCAGGCAGCCGGCTGTCACATGGGGAGAAGTAGAGGGCTAGGCAGATATAGCACTTGTGCTGGGAATTTTACACATGTGCTGAAAATAAAACTCCCATGAGATTTTACAGATGGGTCAAGCAACATGCAGAGTGTAGTGGCCAATGTCACACACATGCCAATGAGGAGCTGGAAAAGAAATCCTAGTGTAACTGACCCTAGGGGCCACATTTATAATAAACTGACCAGGGTTCTCACTAAAGTGGGTTTTCATTTGTTTTCTTCTCTTCAGTCATTATTATTAAATATATATTGTATTTATTGAACACTTAGCAAGAGCTAAGCATCATTTTTTTGTGGCTGAAGAATTAAATGTGATTAAATCACTATATCTGTCTTTGAGAGTCTAGAGAAGCAGGAACCTCCATAAATAAATACACTACAACCAAAACCGGTTTGGCTCAGTGGATAGAACATCAGCCTGGGGACTGAAAGGTTCCAGATTCGATTCTGGTCAAGGGCATGTACCTTGATTGGGGGCACATCCCCAGTAGGGGGTGTGTAAAAGCAGCCGATCGATGATTCTCTCTCATCAATGTTTCTAACTCTCTGTCCCTCTCTCTTCCTCTCTGTAAAAAAAAAAAATCAATAAAATAGATTTAAAAAATAAGTACACTACAACACAGGTGATCCAATCTGGAAGACATGTGCACAGCGATATGAATGCAAAGAAGTAGAAAGGGAGGGATTCTGTCCTTAAGTAGGGGGTGGAGTGTGACCATGATATTGGGCTAGACATTGAAGAAGAGGCAGTATTCCTTCTGTAGAAAAGAGAAATGCTGCTCTAGTTAATGGGAGCACTGAGAACTTCCAGGTTTCATAGACTTAATGGAGGAGGTTATTATAAAAGAACCAGGCCCAGGTTTCACAGGGGAATTCACCTAAATCTGCAAAAGTCATATACTCCCAAGACTACTGAAATTATTTCTGAGTATAGAAAAAGAAGAAAAGCCACAAGATGTTTTTATGAAATAAGCATTACACTATCAGCTACACTTTGGTTAATCAATAGCAAAAAAATAATAATTTTAAGAATAAAATGAACAGGAAGTATGTAAAGAGAAATTGAAATATTTTTGAAAGATACAAAAGTACGTTTGAATATATTTGGAAATCATTCTGAGATAGCATGAGTAACCATTATAAAGCTAAATTTATTTCTATTTTAATAATAAATTTAGCATGACCCCAATAAAAATAACAAATTTGCTCTATGAAGCTATTCAACTAGATTTTGAAGTTTATATGGCAAAATATAGCTAAAATTAGCTAAGAGAAGACTAAAAAAAGAACAATGAGAAGTGAGCATATTAAAACTTATTATAAAGTGTCCAAAATTAAAACAGTGTGATATTGATTCATGAATAGATAGAAAGACAGAGAGAACAATGAAAGAAAATAGAAAGCTCACAAATAGACAAAATGCAAATGGAAATGTAGTGATGACATTTTTAAAATGTCAGGATGTGACAGAGAGCAAGGAATACAAAGAAAATGATGGGAATATGTAAATAAACACAGAAGGTATCTTGTAGTTGCTCAGATTAGTCAAATTTGGGACAATTTTAGCATCAAAACTATAATATTAATGCATTATATCATATAGATAATATAAAAGTCTAAGGGTTACTGAAAATAGACAAATAAACAATAAATGCATATTTTCAAGAGTAAGAAGGAAAATCTTTTTTATGGAAAAATGTGTATTAATATATGGAAGAAAAATATAAAATAAAACAATTACCATTTTACACACCAATGTAATAATTAACTTAGACAAGGTACATATATCAACAGATACTAAAACCAGGGGGTGAAAAGTTTTTGGGAAAGAAGATATTCGCATAGTCTCAAATGCTGCCTCACAGATTACTTATGATTTACAAAGAATAAGCAGTATAATTAAAGTAGAGATCTGACAGGTGTCACCTTTACTAAGTGATCAAACTGACCATCACCAATAATGAGACAAAATGATATTATGTATCCCCTCATGAGGTACAATGGGAAATACACAATATTACCTTTGTAGAATTCCTCCCTAAAGAATTTAATCAAGAGAACCGTCAGACAAAGTATGACACTAGCCCGGCCAGCATGGCTCAGTGGTTGAGCGTTGGACCAATAACCAGGAGGTCATAGTTTGATTCCTAGTCAGGGCATATGCCTGGGTTGTGGGCTCGATCTCCAGTGTGGGGCATCCAAGAGGTAGCCGAACAATGATCCTCTTTCATAATTGATGTTTTTATTTCTCTTTCCCTCTCCCTTTCTCTCTGAAATCAATTTAAAAAAGTATAAATTAAAAAAACCACAAAGTATGACACTAAAGAGATACAACAACCAAATGTAACACATGAATAGTTAATTGATTCTTGTATTCTCAAATTTTTACTATATATATATATTAATATACAGACTACATATTATTTATCCCATACAAACTTGCAACTAGCGCTAAATAAATTCTAGAGCTCTAGTGGACAGTATAGTGAACAACACAGACAACAATATTGTGTTAAAATCATCACATTTGCTAAGAGACTGCATCTTAATTATTCCATCCACAGAAAAAATGATAATGATTAGAGATGCTAACCTTATTACCATGGCAATCGTATTACAATATATAAATGTATTAAATAAAAGTTTATATTCTAAATTTATACAATGTTATATATTTCAATGAAAAATGATAAAATGAATTTTAAAATAAAGAATGAGCATAGAAGGAAACTCAGGATCATGAAGGAGGGGAGACTGTGGGACAAGGAGGGGAAGATACTGGAAGGCAAAACGGGGATGAGAATGATGGGCAAAGAGAGAAGAGATTTGGTGGACAAAGACAAGTCTACAGGCTGAGAGTAGGAGGGGCTAAGGATGTAGTAAGGAGCAGAAGGGACATTGGGGTGTGGGATTCTGAAGGTCTCAGAACCCTGTAGTCTTGGTTTCCTATGCCCTCTTAGGCCCAAGAGTCTACTCATGTTTTAGGCAGTTAAAAGAAGTACGTTCTTGGTAAATCTGTGAATTTGGTCCCGTTAGCCAAGGTCATTGTATGTTCTGTACTACCTCTCTTCTCTTCTTGCCTTTAGTAGAGGGCTCCTTCTGTGCCCAAGCCAAGTAAAAATCTTGGTAAATTAGTCGTTCAGAGAAAATGAATAATCCCAAAGTGTTAAAGTGTTGGCTAAACAAGACAATTTTTTAAAAGATTCATAAGGTAAAAGAATAAACTGAAAAATTCCCTTGTGACATGCTAACATTTTTATTATATTCACAAGAATATATTTTTAAAGACAGCTGTCAGAGGGAAGGGCACAGTAGGTTCTGGATGAAAGAAGTTGAAGGAATCAGCCAAAGAACAAATATGAGTAACTCATAGACAATAGGAGGTAAGAGTGGGGTGGGGTAGGTAGAAATAGAAGGGGAAAGTGGGGAGACCTGTAATGGTGTAAACAATGAAAATAAAATAAAAAGATTAATAGTAAAGTTCAGCACATTTTCATGTGTTTATTGGCTTCTAAACATTTAGTCATATAAATTGCCTATTTATATACTTTATTCATTTTTCTATTGATTTGTTTGCCTTTTTTATTTGTAAAAAATAAATATTATGCATTATAAATATCAATCCTTTGCCTGTGACATATGTTGCAAATGTTTTATCCCATTCTATTTTTTGGCATTTAAGCCTATAATGCATTTGAAGTTTATGTTGGTACCTGGTACAAGACTGGAATCTAAAAGAGTTTTTCTATTTAGAAGTTAAATTTTTTTTTATAATGCTATTTGTTGAATAACTCACCTGGTTCCTATTTATCTGCAATGATTTTTTTTTTCTTAAGCCTCATTATGTGGTAGGGTCCATTTTAGGATCATGTATTATGCTTTAGCCTATTGTTCTGTGAATTTGTATACACAGGCTTAATTATTATTGTGTTATCGATATTATGTAGTTTATGGTTCATACTTTTGGAAATTTCTTAACCATCTTCATTTTTTTCACTATTTTGACAGCTGAGATTTAGAAACATTTTATCAAGTGAAAATATAAATATTGGCATTAAGGAAGTTTGTTGGGGGAGATGAAGGGTATGTGCTATGAATTTATATACTGCATTAACCCTTGATGTGGTTTTGCAATATGTCAGCTGCTCCAGTCAGCACATTTCCATGTTCACGTTGAAGTCCATCCCACCCTGTGGGACTCTAGGCAAAGCAAGGCTGGCCAGCACTATCTAGTAGTCATTCATCATCTTTTGTTTGTCAGGCTTGTTACCAACAACCATGTGAAGAAGACCAGCCTCTTGGAGCTCACGCCTGTCTTCTCTGCAGGTTGTTTTGCAAAACCTTCTTATAAGTGTTATCCGCTTCTGCTCTGTGTACTACGTGGTTCTGAGTCTGGGCTGCATGGTGCTCAGGTAAGTGGCACATTGTCTATGAAAGGAATTTGCATCCATACTTGACTTGTCTTTATGAAATAGAGGATGCAGATTTTTTAAATGGTATCTTTCCTTATTTTTCTTTAAAGTAAAAATGAGCAAATGTGCCATCTTTGAAAATGATGTCTGCATACAATTACAGAATTAGTTACAGCAGAAGATGTAAGCTTAAAGGACTCAGATCTTAGACCAGAAAGGGATTTCAGAGACTAATCATTTCAATTTACAGATAAGAAATTAAAACCAGAAGGTTCAGTGACTTGCCCAAAAGCACACTTAACAACTCCATCAGGATTAGAACCCGGTTCTTATTGTTTCCAAGCCCTATACTCTTGCCACAGTATTGGGTTCTCCTCCCACATTTGTTGGCAGGGACTTCCAAGATTACAGGGGAGGCCTCAAATACAATGAAATACACTCTGTGGACAGTATGGACTTAATTGGACAAAGAAGAAAATGCAGATAAAGAGGTTGTTTGGCTGCCATTCAAGTCAGCCAGTTTAAGCAGGTAAAGTTAATGACTTCCTGTTGTATGTGAAGAGCGATGCACAAGACCTTGATGTGCAAAGTTATGGAGTGCCTCCTCCAGCGTAAACTATTTTCATTTGTAACATCTCCAGGGTGGATGAGTTGGATGTCCTGGCACCATTTGATTTCCAAACAAATCCCTCCTGGGCCAACACAAATTATAAAGGTAATCAACTTTAATTTTCAGTCTTTGTCAGCGAGTGAACTAATTGCCTCCAAAAATCAAAACAGTTTTTGTTTTATAAAATGTTTTGAAATATCAGGAATTTCTCTCAGCCATCTGCATCTTATACCTGACTTCAAAAATGAATATGGAAAAGCACTATACAATTTTTAAGAGGCTATTTCTAAAAGACAGAATGGGATGGAGTAAGTGGAATAAGTGGATCGTGTTCTTATTTCAATTTTTCTTTGTTGGTATTATGGGCAAACCTTTGTGTATTAAGCGCTTTTCAAAAATAAAAGGGAGAATGGCTTAGTGTACTGATGTAGAAACACAAAACGATGTAGTTTGTGAGATATGAAATGGGTCAGCCAGTGAAAGATAGGACAGCGACGCAGGCCTATTGGACAAGGCTGTGTTTTCACAGAGCAGAGATTAGTGAAGATCCCAGGATGCCTGGCACAACCTACAAAGTCCTTTCCTCTCACAGAGCACTAACATTTGTACAAAGATATCAATAAACCTTCAACCTATTAGAGCTTTAATTTGGGGCTCAGGGAGATAAGTGCCATGACTCTTCAAAGTTGTTACTGTGTGAATCCAGACTTGTTTAATCTTGGAGATAAAAATGGATGAGCCATCTCAGAACCTTGGGCGTGTATTTGGGGTCAAGTTTCTTGTCTGGTTAAGCAATTTTGTCATCCAAGGAGATGATGTTTAGGAAGGACATGAAAAGGGTATTGCAGAAAGTACGCTGCAAATTGCTTTCATTTTCAATTAAAATCCTCCCAACAACTTTTGGGGGTAGATAAATAGTACCCCACTTCCCAACTTATAGAAAAGGAAACCGACTGAGCCAGAGGTTAAAATCCTGCTCACGGTCCTATAACTCGTAAGCTATACAGCAAAACTAGGACACTGGTATCTTGACTTCAAAATTTGTACTACTTCCTTTAGTTCAGTGGTTCTCAACCTTTCTAATGCTGCGACCCTTTAATACAGTTCCTCATGTTGTGGTGACCCCCAACCATAAAATTATTTTTGTTTCTACTTCATAACTAATTTTGCTACTGCTATGTATCATAATGTAAATATCAGTGTTTTTCGATGATCTTAGGCGACCCTGCTAGCGGTTCTCAATCATCGTGGCAGTAAGAAGGTTGAGAACCATTGCTTTAGATCATACTTTTTCTCATATCATAAACAAAGGTATTTTCTATCAATATATGCAAATAAAGCTTGTGCAACACTAACATCACTATCTCTGAGCAGCTGAGAGTTAACCTATAAATTCTGTAAACACTGATAAAAAGCCATCTCTATTTCTCTCTTTTTTAAAAACTTCTCTTGGACTGTGGGTGTAGTGGTTGGAGCCTCACAGGAGAGGCGAGGGTGGTTGGTGTCAAAGAGGGGATGGAAACCAAGACCCTGGACCACCTCCCGCCACCCTCCAGCAGGTCCAGGTCTGTCGTGGCTTTTGGGAGGAGCTGCACAGCCCCCCTCTCCCATCACTCTACCTTGAGACCAGCCATATTTCCATCTGCTGAGCTGCAGTTGGCAGAGTCATGTGGGTGTTTGTGTATAAGAGAGAAACAAGACAAGGCCAACAAGGCCGCCAAGGTGAACGGTTATCCACGTATTTCTAGGCCAGCATTGAACCAAATAGCATTCCTGACTTACCATTCTGCCCTGAACCTGAGAAGAATACTAGGTGACCGGTTAATAATGCGAATTTTTTTTTGAATAGATGGAGTTACACATGTTGATATATATGTGATTTGATATGTATGCTATTTTGTTGTATTGACAGCAAGCTTCAAAACTTCATATATCAAATTTGCTGAAGGTGTTAACATCATAGGTATTTTTACACTTAAAAAATGTCATATTTCATGCCAAAAAAAAAAAAAAAGAACATTTGCTGGAAGTTATAATTCATTACTTTATTTTGAAGAAAAGTGCTGCTGAATACTTTGGGAAGCTTATGGTGTACATACTCCATCTCAAGATACTTGTGAGTACTGGTTTAAACACTTTAAAAGTGATGATTTCGATGTGAAAGATAAAGAACGTCTAGGTTAACCAAAAAAGTTTGAAAACCAACAATTACAAGCATTATTGGATGAAGATGTGTGCCAAACTCAAAAAAACAACTTGCAGAAAGATTAAATGTTGCTCAGCAAACAATTTCCGATTGTTTACAAGCAATGGAGAAGATTTTAAAGGAAGGAAAATGGGTGCCACATCAACTAAACGAAAGATAAATGGAAAACCAAAAAGTCATCAGACCTTGGGTGTGGCCCTCAGTTGGGAGAAGAGCCTATGCCTCTGACTAAGGCCAGATAATTCTGGAAGTAAAGAAAGTAAATACAAGAACTTCAAACTGAACAAAAAAAGAACAACAAAACAAAACTCTATTGTTGAAATTGTTATAGATGTCCCCTCTTTCCTCCCAATAACCCCTCCACCTGTCAACCCCCAGGCCTTCACATGACTATTGTCTGTGTCCTTGGGTTATGCATATATGCATATATGTTCTTTGGTTAATCTATTCCCTAATTCTCTGCAATAATGTGGGGCTGGGCCTGGTCTGGGATAGGACTGGTCTTTGTGGAGCTCTGTGAGCCACAGTGCAGGTAGGAGTGGGAATGTGATGGGAAGAGGTGTTGTTCATGAATACACTTGCTTCCACAGGCTCAGTGTTAGGGGGACAGAACACGCTGAAAAGAACTGCATTTCCATACGATAGAAAAGGAACTAGTATGACTTGTCCATTCAACTTTTGAAACCTGTTCCATTAAATTAAATAGAATTAAAGAGGAGTATGTATGAGGCCTTTACAAACAAGGGCACCTGGGACTTGCACTTGGTGAGTGAGTGTCTTGCTCAACCAGTAGGCAATCACTGGGTTGCTGGTTAATAAATTACTTCTGCATAACAGAGCATAATGTGATTATTTTACTTTTTTTTTTTTAATATAAACTATGGAGTTTACTTGCCCAGATTTATCAGTTTCTGAATTATAAGAATACACCAATCATTTGCTGTTTTAAAAGGAAAAAGAGGTAATATTTATGGAAAATGACATCAATACTAAGGCATCTTGGTAGCATATCACATCTATTTGTCTCTTTAAAGTTCGATGGCTCTCTTCTTTAAAATCACTATAAGATTTCAAGTTCCATATCAAAGCAAAAGCGAAAGCTTGACCTTTCCCATTTCCAGACTCTTAGAGATTTGTGGTCCTGACCTGTACGTGGTCCTGGCTCTTTATACATGTTCAGGGAAACCGCTCTGAGACAACGGGTGGATTTAGGAGAGCGCCTCCATCCACAGGAGTCATTTATGAGGCTTTCTTTCATCCATGGTTATCGGTTATGTTTCCCAGGTGACTATCTGAATGTACCATTTTATTACAAAGACTCAAAAGAACTTATTTTCAAGTTAGGTAATGACTGGTACCAAAGAAATGTTATAATCCACTAAACTTTAACATTTTTTTTTTATTTCTCAAAATGCAGAATTGAATTTTTTCATTAGTTTTTAATACATCTTAAAAATAAGACTTGCAATCCAATTAAAGATAAGCATGCATTGGTTACATAGTAACTTTTCTTTATTGAATTTTACCTTCTAAAATGCTAAGTATGAAGAATGTGAAACAGAAATGATATAGTTATTTTCCTATAAGTCTAAGGTTTATAAAGAGATGAAAAATATTAAAATTTTCCAAATTTGAGGATTGTTAAGAGAAGGAATATTAAGAAAATTTCTATCAAGATTGTTTTGCAGAATAACTTGTAATGGTCCTGTTACCAGTTGCATTTCAGAATTATTATTATTATTAATTACTCTAATCCCAAATAATTACATTCTTCCTTTCATTTGCAGTGCTGTTAGTCTCAGCTGAGATCATCTACTTCGTTTGTGGGTTGCTTTTCATTCTGGTTGTGGAAGAATGGGTTTGGGATTATGCTATTTCAGTAACTGTTCTCCATGTTGCCATCACTTCAACTGGTAAGCAAAATAAAATGAAGGCAACAAAATGTATTAAGCCTGATATTGTACCTAAATTGCTTCGTAAGAGAAGAACTTCATTGCATGCATAGCATACTCTGATGACTCCAGAATAAAAACTGATGAGGGAAGATCTTTACTCTCTCCCCTTACGCATCCTGCCTGCAAAGCTCTTCTACCCCTTCCTCAGCAGGTATTGCCTGGTTACATCTTCCAATTCAAAACTGTACCGAAATGCAGGGGCTTCCTATTCCCCTTTCACATTCAACTTGTCATTAGCTTGTACAGGGTTTGCTTCTGTTGGGAATCCCTTCCTTTAAAATCCTTCTTTAAGGCAGAAGTTGACCAAAGACTGGGAGCTGGAACCCAAGGTCTGTACTTGGAGGCTTGCAAACTTCCCAACACCAGTTAGTTATTGTAACAAGATTATTGGGTTCTTAGACTAAAGGCTATTTATTTTCACCTGTGATCTATGGAGTTAGGAGAAAATGGATTCAAATTCAAGTTCCACTTTTTTTTGTGTGTGTGTGTGTCTAGTCTTAGGCAAGTCCCAATATGGCTTATATTAGTTGCCTCTACAAAATGGGAGATACTTAGTCAAGTTCCAACAAGAATGAGAAATTGTCTGACACAGTGTCTAGCATATAATAATTTCTGAGTAAATGATAAATGTCATCGATTCCTTCAAAATCTATACACCATTGTAACTTTTTCTCCCTTGTCTTCTATTATTTTTTTTTTATTTTTTTATTGATTTCTGAAAGGAAGGGAGAGGGAGAGAAACATCAACAATGAGAGAGAATCATTGATCCACTACCTTCTGTATGCCCCCTACTCGGGATCAATCCTGCAACCTGGGCATGTGTCCTCGACTGAAATTGAACCCTGGACCCTTGAGTCTACAGACCGATGATCTATCCACTGAGTCAGACCAGCTAGTGCTATTATTATTATTTTTAAAAAGCATACTAGTCTAAGTATGGATGGTAATCAATCTCAGTTGTAATTCAAATTTTTTTATTATTTGTTAACAACTTAAATCATTCATTTTTTTAGTGCTTTCATTTAGTAATTGTGTAACCAGTCTTTAACTTAAGAACGCACAATTTCCAAATGAATTGCTGCACTCCAGCATCACTGCTATTGGAAAATGCCAGAATATCAATACCCTAGCATCAATTTCCTGAGACAAACTCTTTCAGTAACTTGGAGGACCATTGAACTCTCATCACCTTAAATCTCTGTTTTATTTTAGGTCTTACTACTTCCTGGAAGACAGCCATAGGATATGCACAGCAGGACGTGGGGGCATAAGGTGGCTCAGCCTTAAAGATTGAGATAAGCAATTGGTTCTGGACCCAGAGAAGTTACAAGTTAATTGTCTAACACATGGTACATAGAAAATGCTTAACAAATATTGCTCAATCGAACTGAGTTCAGAGTGAAGTGGCTCGGAACTTCAGAGACAGCTGGACATTGAGGACACAGGAGAGTCTTAGGACCATCTCTGAGGCATATTTTTTGGTTCTCTTTCCATATGAATGGCAGTATGTCTTTTTAGTAATACAAGAATAAGAGAAACTGTTTAATTTCATTTTTTTCTCTGCCCACAAATTTCTCATCTGAATTTATCAATTATATATCTAATAAAAACATTAACCAAGTGAACATGGGTTTTTCTAAAGCTTTTTCTTCGAGTTAAGACAGGTGTTGACCACAAAATATTTTTAGGTTTCCTTTTTTCCAGTAAGTTTGGAAATAGTTTTTTTCTAACTAGTTTTATTCTTAGTGATGAAAAATAGAAATGCAGTGCTTTACCATATGTTTTTCCCTAAAGTTGAGTTTCTGTTTATGGTACCAGAATTACTAATATTACCTACTAATCTCTTCATAGATGTTTAATTCTCCACTTACCTTGCATATCCAAGTATTGGATGTATACTTTTCTCTAATATTGTTAAGCACATACAGAAAATATGTGTACAAAGTACTCATATGTTATTTTGTATAAATCTTTAAAAGATATAAATTTTTGTATCCCATTTTTAATTCTTAATCCTCACCTGAGGATATTTTTTCCACTGGTAAAAGAGAGAGGGAAAGACAGAGAAATATAGATGTGAGAGAAACACATCAATTGGTTGACTCCTGTACATGCCCTGTCCAGGGCCCGGGCTGAGGAGGAGATTGCAACTGAGGTACGTGCCCTTGAACAGAATCAAACCCTAGACCCTTCGGTCTGCAGGCTGATAGTCTATCCACTGAGCCAAACTGATTAGGGCTCAAAGATATAAATTTTTAATAAATTGGGGGGAAAATACATATGCTATAAGTGTAAGTGGAAAGATTTCCGCCCCCCCCCTGGAAAAACAAGAACTTATTTTTTTTGGATTTTATTAACATTACAAAATTTACTGAGCCGTAGCCAGCTCAGTCACATAAAAAAATGTCACCTCGCCGGGACCGGTTTGGCTCAATGGATAGAGCGTCGGCTTGGGGACTGAAGGGTCCCGGGTTCGATTCCGGTCAAGGGCATGTACCTTGGTTGCGGGCATATCCCCAGTAGGGGGTGTGCAAGAGGCAGCTGATCGATGACTCTCTCTCATCGATGTTTCTAACTCTCTATCTCTCTCCCTTCCTCTCTGTACAAAATCAATAAAATATATTTAAAAAAAAAAAAAAAAAAAAAAAATGTCACCTTGATATGAAAGAGAGTCCGCTTTGGCATAATGGAATGGCCAATAGAATTTCTTAAAATAGTTGGCTGACTATTTTAGTTTCAATAACCAGGGTTGGATTACTCAGAGGATAGTTGTCAAATGATGTCTGAGGTAACCTTTTTTGTTTTCCCTTGAGTTAAATATTTAGATATAAGAGAATAGTGGCTAACAATCTAGAAAATTCTCTTTGTCTCACACTTGAAGGGTCTTTGTGTGAGGAAGTTGTGTGGGTCTTTCAGGCTTCTGATTCACTAAGGGCTCTTTTAAAAATATATATTTTATTGATTTTTTACAGAGAGGAAGGGAGAAGGACGGAGAGTTAGAAACATCGATGAGAGAGAAACATCGACCAGCTGCCTCCTGCACACTCCCTACCGGGAATGTGCCTGCAACCAAGGTACATGACCTTGACCAGAATCGAACCTGGAATCCTTAGTCCACAATCCGACATTCTATCCACTGAGCCAAACCAGCTCGCTAAGGGCTCTTACCTCAGGGCCCTTTATCTTCAATGATGTCTGATTCTCACTGCCATAAAAGGAACATTGGGTTTATGTAAGGCTGGATTAATCTTTTAAAACAAACTGGAATCACTGGGCCATTTTTATACAACTAAATAGTTCAGGTAGGTGGAATTCTAGGTGTTTATTCTAGGTGTTTATATCCTAAGAATTTGCCCTAAGTCAGAGGTAATTGCCTATACTGAGAATTCATGCTGCAGAATATAGTTTATCAAAAAAATCCTTTTCTTTTAAATTATTTATGTGTTTGTTAGACATCATTGGTAGCCCTCCAAGTGTTTAGTAAAGTGGCACCAAGCTTAAAGGATAGAAAAAAGGCAGATAGTAACTTCTCATAGGTGAGAAAACGGGTGTGTGGGTAAAACCAGGCCAAGGTTGTCAAAAGTCTTTGAATTGTGGAGGGAAGGCAGGGGGGAAGGGTAAGAAATCAACTAAAGGACTTGTATCCCTGCATATGAGCATGAGCAATGGACACAGACAACAGAGGGGTGGGGGCGTGTGCTGTGGGGCAGGAGCAGGTAGGGAGAGGTCATTGGGAGAACAGGAGACATCGAAAACTTTTAACAACAAAGAATTTTTAAAAATGCCTTTGTGTTGTGAATGTTTGCATTTTTTTAGTATATGTATTTCTAAAACCCCAATTATGAAGCACCTTGTTTATAGGACAAGAAGTTCTAACCAATCTTATAGAAATAAATTTCATTGTGTAACAGTTGATTTGACTGAATGTGTAGAGAAATGTAAAGCTTGTTCAAGAAGTACGATTTATCTAGTGAAATAGAAATATTTATTAGTGAATTGGTTGAGTTTTGAAGTCTCTAACTTTTCAGGATGATTTTGTTTTTTAGAATTCCATATTTAACAGCAATTTATGACAACTAAGATTACACATTTAGAAATATTTCTAAAGATTCTACATTACAGCCCTAGCCAGGTTGGCTCAGTGGATAGAGCATTGGCCTGTGGACTGACGGTCCCAGGTTCACTTCTGGTCAAGGGTTAAGGGCACATGTCCAGGTTGCAAGCTCGATCCTCAGTAGGGAGCATACAAGAGACAGCTGATATATAATTCTCTTTCATCATTGATATTTCTCTCTCTCTCTCTCTTTTTCTCTCTCTCTCTCTCTCCTCTCTGAAATCAATAAAAATATATTTAAAAACACACACACAAGATTCTACATTACATAATGGATTGTTACACAGACCAAAAAAAAAAAAAGTTTAATAATATGAAAGGCATGGCAAAATGTAAGGTGGAAAAAATTACCTAAAAATTGGATTTTTCTTTATAAGTGTTTGTGTCAGACAATAAAGTGGGCCTTTACTGTAAAGATGTTAAGAATAACTGGCTTGGCTGCTTGATCCCAGCGTTTCCTACACATTTGGTAACAAAGCATCAATGGCAATATACAGAAACAGAAAGCCCTCGTGTGCTCTTGCTGTTGGTATTTCATTGGGTATGAATATAGCTCAGCTTGAGTGAATGTGCTTGTTGAGATGTTAATAAAAAGCTTAAGAACAGGAAGATTAAGGTTGTTGGCACATGAAATAATAGTGGCTACAGAGAAAAATCGGTGACCTTGTGTTGCTATTTATTTTATACCCTCATCACACTAGCAACTAGATAAGGGGAAGTTTTTCTAACATGCCTTAAAAATATTATGGTTTGATTCAAAGACCCACTCTTTCCCCCCTGCTATTATGATAACGTTTTTTGGTTTTTATTTTGTCTTGTTCTACTTTTATACAAAGGAGGCATTTGTTAGTTTTCTTTCTTTTATGTTGCAACTTTTTTTTGGTTCTTTTAAGCTGTGATAGCGATGGTAACTTATGCTTTTAATTTTGTTCGACATACACAAAACAAGCCAGCATCTGATCAAAAGTGTTACATAAAAATCTTTCTTAAGCTATTGAAAGGTGCTTTGATGATTTCTTCCCTTTGGTTTGTAGAATTAGGACTGAACTTGACTCTAACTGCTACCGTTGCCATCACTCTTCTGTGGTGAAACTACTGATATTTGCTTTTCTGTATAAGAAAAAAATGTTTCCTAAACGATGTCTGCTATTTGTTTTAAGAGTTGTTCAGTGGGAATGTTGTCTAACTGTGTGTGAATATGAAAGCGTTTATTTTGTTTGCTGATGGCTTTTCTTTTTTTGTCTGTATGTTTTTTTTATTTTATTTATTTTTTCTCAGTAGTCCTTAGTCAATCAAAGTTTATTGACTCTTTTTTTTTTTTTTTAATTAACATGTCATTGTGCATCTATAAAGTCCTGACCAGGGTTTCAAGAGTGTCTGCAGTGGGTTTTGGAAACAGACTTATCATTATTGATTTGGGGCTTCTTAGAGATAAATGCAGTTCACAGTTAATTGTTGAGGTCTAATATGACTGACCATTTAAAATTGAATAACAGTGTACAGTTTAAAACAATGTCAATTGTTATACCTTGACATTCTATTTAAAACATGAATTGTAGAGATAACTCAATGCAAATTCAACAGTTGTATTTGTATTTTAATTACTTCAGCAAATACATTTATATAATGAAAAAATTGGGGGAAAACATAATTAAACATATTTTCCAAGTTAGTAGCATGTTTTCCTTTTGTAATTAGAGAGAAAATAACCTTATAAAATATTTTTAAATGTCAACAACACAGACAAAAGGCAGGTCTGAAGAACTAAAAAAAAGAATCGAGAATTGTGAATTTATTGGCATGTGCTTTGACTTCATTGCCTTTAAATTTCTGAGTTTTAAGAGTACCTTACTATGAATTTGACAGAAGCATGGACCTATTATTCCCTGAAGGTAGTTTTGAATTTCAACAATTTACTAGCCCAGAATATATACCCACTCTCTCTTAGCTGAATCTATAAATTATTCTATTTCAAATGCTATGTCAGTTTCAGGCACATTCTCTTAGTCATGACAATTGTTCTTATTCATAATCTCTCCAATGAATTATTCATTATTGGTAGTTAACCAAAACTTCCCTTTCATTACTAGCAGGATCTAGCTTAATTTCAATGATATGCGGAGGCCAGATTTTAGCACAGTTTGTTCAAAGACAACTTTATCTATCCATACCTGGATGGTTTTTTGTACAGAGAGGAAGGGAGATAGCAAGTTAGAAACATCGATGAGAGTCATCGGTCAGCTGCCTCTTGCACACCCCCTACTGGGGATGTGCCCACAACCAAGGTACATGCCCTTGACCGGAATCGAACCCGGGGCCCTTTAGTCTCCAAGCCAACGCTCTATCCACTGAGCCAAACCGGTTTCGGATACCTGGATGGTTTTTAACAAAACAGCTGAATTAATTTGCCTCAGACTTTCCATATTATTATATACATTGTATGAGAGCTAAAATGTACTATTTGTTCATACATTCAAAGTTGAATTTATTCAAGACACTTTATAGCTATGAAAAGAAAAAAGAGAAGTGTATGGAGAGCAGAAAAATTCTAATAAAGAATTTATGAGCAAAATGTTGCAAA